CCACGGCCTGTGAAAGCGAGGGATCGTTGTCCAGGATGGGTTGTAGATCACTGATGATGCGTTGGAGAGGTTTTAGCTGAGGACTGTAGGTGACGGCCAGTGGAGTTCTGTTGGTTTCTTTCTTGGGTTGTCTTGCAGCAGGAGGCTTCTGGGTACATGTCTGGCTCTGTTGATTTGTTTCCTTATTTCCTGGTGCGGGTATCGTAGTTTTGAGGTGTTGGTCTCTGTCTGAGGGGTTGGAGCAAATGCGGTTATACCTTTAGCGCTTGGCTGTAGATGATGGATCGTGTGGTGTGTCTGGGATGGAATCTGGAGGCATGAAGGTAGGCATAGCGGTCGGTGGGTTTTCGGTATAGGGTGGTGTTAACGTGACCGTCGCTTATTTGTACCGTGGTGTCTAGGAAGTGGACCTCCCATGTAGATTGGTCCAGGCTGAGGTTGATGGTGGGGTGGAAGCTGTTGAAATCGTGGTGGAATTCTTCCAGAGTCTCCTTCCCATGGGTCCAGATGATGAAGATGTCATCAATGTAGTGTAGGTAGAGAAGGGGCGTGAGTGGACGAGAGCTGAGGAAGCGTTGTTCCAGGTCAGCCATAAAAATGTTGGCATATTGTGGGGCCATGCGGGTGAAGGGAATAGCTTCTGTCTCCAGCATGATCACCACAGCACCTTTCATGACCATTATAGTCACTCAATATTATAAACTATCTTAGCTCCTTTGCAAAAATACGTCACAGTACTATAGGTACTTACCAAATTAATAAGAATATTGGTGAAATAAGGCTATCAAACAAGAATAAATATTCCTGTGCAATTTGACATATTGTCCACTTTCTTAATCTGCTCAGTGCTTTATTCTTAAGGACTTTCAGGACTGAAAGAAAGGAGGACTTGTGTAGCTCTTACTCAAATATCCTGGCAGTCACTGAAACTAATAAGGATGCCTGTCTTAAGACATGATCTGTGCCATAAAATGACAGGCACAGCCAAATTTTCAATTAAAATATAGGAGAGCAACACACATCCATTTCTCTAGAGGCAATACATTATGATTCTTCACTCAACAAGACATGTTTAACCAACATATCTTTCTATAGTTCACTCAGTGTGCAAAAGAATCATGTTTGCCAGTGGACAGTCAGGATATATAGATTTCATCAGAGATCTAGACGTGTTGCTTGATTAGCTGCACAATACCTTAACAACTCAAACTGACAAATTAGAGTAGTGGAGTCATTTCTTATTAAATAATTTTCTTGTACTTACACTCACAACATCTAGGCACCTTAATTTCCTGACCCAATATTATTCATAATATAAACAAAAAAGCACTTAAACACAAAGAAGCCCCTTGAAGAGACCTTTTTCTTGTGATCTAAGCTATGAACAGTAGAAACTGATCAGAATCAGCAAGGTGATTAAAAACAGTGACAAATAACTAATACAGAAAGGACAGCGCTGAGGTATCCCAAGGTTCAGGGGGTAGTTCATATTCCCTGGCACATACAGTGTGTCAGGCCATGGCTGAGATTTTCAAAGCCAGCTAAAGGATTTCGAAACACAGCTCCCATTGAAGTTAATGGGAGTCATTTGGCTAAATCCACCACTTGACTTTGAAAAGTCTCAGTCCAAATCTGTTAAAATACAGGTACCTTACTTCACACAAGCCTATGTGGAAAACTCACATTGCTAAATGATTAAAACGGTGACACCATTTCTTAGCTACATTCTTTACCTTGTGAATAAAGCATGTGATATCATTTCATTAGTACCTGCTGAAAAAAATGGTAAAAAGTGACAGGACCAAAGCTCAGCAAAACTAAACTGACCATCTTCTATTGTCAGTAACTACAGTGCATCTGCACCTCACTTCGATTATGTTGCACAAATGTAACAGTGCATAGCATTTGCTCTAGGAATTTTGAGAGAGTATCATCCCCTCAAAAATTAAACTTATGTCTGAACTATTCTACCTACTATTGTTATACATAATACTGAAGATTACAATAACTGAGGGACGAGAGAAAGGTATTCTATTTTTCCAGTTTATTTACTTTGTGCATTTGACATCCCTTGTATCTAGTCAGATCCTTGTACCCATATGGAGCCCCAGTGACTTCAATGGAGCTCTGTAAAGATGCAAGAGTCTGTCTGTGCAGACCACCTTGCAGGAGCAGGGCCTTAGACTGTTTCCGCTATTGTTTGTATGTGTTGTTTTAAGAGGAGAGGAGGGGACTCTATATTTTTTTTAAAGGAACATGTGGCTGTAAAATGACACAAATTGACAGGAGGACTCAGGCAGATACAGTTTCTGAAGTTACTTTTAACTCATATAAAAAAAAAACTGGCTAGATTTCAAGCTGACAACATCCCCTTGAGCTATGCCTCAAAGCTTACAGCAAACCAAATATAACTGAAGTTATACAGTATGAGAAGTTAGAGACCAACGTCACAGTTATCTCTAACAACGTGCCTCTCAGTTACTAGGCATCCCAATTCATACATAATCATGCTTTTTGTGCTGGTTAGAGCTTTATGAAACACCAGCGATAGAATTTTAGAGATAAACAATTGATCCGGGTTTTAATACTGCAAGGTATAAAATCATAAGGTTCTGTACTGCAGACAACCAGAAGTATCCCAACACTCTGTAAGGGCCCAATCCAATTATGCTCCCATCAATAGAATCTCCCAGTGACTTGACTGGCACAGGATCGGGCCATATGTGAACAGAGAATCTATCATTTCAACATGAGTTCTAGAAAAATTAAATAATTCATGAACACTAGACGCCTAATCCTGCACTGTTTTGCACCATGCCTAGTCATTTACAGTTGTGAAAACTGGGTGTAAAATGCTACCACCAGTGTGAGTGGAAAAGTCTGATTTGGTAACATTTTAAACCTCCCTGTTTTACAAGTATAAGTGACTATAAATATGGTTGAGAAATAGGCCTCTGAGCCACATAAATGACTTAAATGAACTTAGTGGAGAAAAGAGTTTCCACTTAGGAAAAGTAGAATGACCTATATCAACCATGGCCAAAAAGGCATGTTCAGAAAGACTCCTTAATACTCATTGTTTAACAATTTGGTATGATATGCTAGAATGGTACTTTGAACTATTTATTTTAAATTAATCTGATTTTGAAAATCTTGCGTACAAAGTGTAATATTCTCTGCTAGATAAATTTTGCATGTACACTGTACATCTATGGGAATAACCTTATGTAAAAATATTATGCTCCACTAATCTGAAATTTTAATACTCTATCCTGTATGTTCAGTCCTTTTAAGTTTGATAACACAGAATTGTCTATATTTATGTACATTTAACAGCACTTTGTGTATAGTTAATTAGGAACAAATCCTGGAGTTCCTAATTAACTACTCCCATGTATAAATGCTTGCAGGACCTAGTTATTATTCAGTTTCATACTTATTTTTGTATGGTTTTCACATACAACAACAAGGAGAGAATTTTTGTTTAAAGAAAATAAGAAAATATTGTTGTCAACCCATAACAAATGGTATGGGGATTCAGGGGCAAGGCCTATTTTTAAAAAATATTATTTTTAAATTAACTAGGTTTCAGGTTTACTGTTTCCCTTTACATACAACAAAACCTGTCTTAAAGGACCGGGCAAGGAACTTACCAAAAATTGGTTGCGCAACAACCTAATATGCATGAAGCAGAAATGGAAAGAGGGACTCAAATTCTGTTCTGTTATGTCACTGTAAATCCAGAATAACTCCATTTATACTGACTGAATACTTCAGTATGCACTGGTGTAAATGAGTGAAGAATGTAGCCCACTATGTTCTGGGTTATTTTGGAGGCGATATTCTAAGGCAGGTGCCACATAAATATGGTCTCACACAAATTCCACTGTACACAGCATTTAAAAAAAAAAAGTTTGTATTAAACGGTAAGAGGTAAGATAAATACATAGGGGCTGATTCTGCACTGCCTTGCACCGAGTGTAATCATTTACACCTGCTCAAAGGGAACATAAAATGCTAACAAATCACAATGGTAGGATTTTGCACTCACTTGGCACAAGTAAAACTGATTACAGAAGGTGCAAGGCAATACAGTATTAAGCCCTATGTATTTACAAACAGTGTAAAACTTGTATGTATTTGAAAGAAACAGTTTAGTGAGTACTTGAAAACATTTTTGAAGACTTTAAAAATAAAAAGCTTCTAATCCTTTAAAGATACAACTGTATCTAAATACTAGTGAAGCAGATGAATATTTTGATTTTACATTGTTGACAAACTGTATCCAGTCAAATCACAAATTCTTATTTTAAGCTGCTTTTGTTAAAGAACTGTGCTAAAATGTGAACTAAATAAAAATATTTTGAAAGTACATGTGTTCCAAATGTTTTCACAGATTCATGGCAGTATGTGTACTGTAAGTTAAACACTACAAAGAATTGATTCGTAAGTGTTGTGTAGCCTTAGTTTACATCACAATGTGACAAAAGATTGTTTTGAACTACTGTTGGTACATCAATTGGGCTCTAAATTTAAACTCACAGGGTTTACACTTTATGGATTTTTTAAAGGGATCTTTAATTTAGAGCAGCTGAGGGGACTAAAGAGTTCATTATCTTAACTATATTATTAAGAACAGGAGTACTTGTGGCACCTTAGAGACTAACAAATTTGCATCCGAAGAAGTGGGTTGTAGCCCACGAAAGCTTATGCTCTAATAAATTTGTTAGTCTCTAAGGTGCCACAAGTACTCCTGTTCTTTTTGCGGATACAGACTAACACGGCTGCTACTCTGAAACCTATATTATTAAGAAATGTTTCAGCCAAAGTAATGGTCAAATTTATGAGCACATAAAACCAGCATCCTTGATTATTAGTGGTTATCCTTCTTTACACTAACTTCTTACAAAGTTACACAGGGGCACAAAAAGAATAGTCTGTGATCCATCAAGCAGACATTTATTCAGAATTGTTCATCTTGATATAAAATTTGAGGGCCTGATCCTCTGTGTGACTGTCTTCAATGGGACTGCTTGTGTGAGCAAGAATTTAAAGGATTAGCCTTCAACTTGTAACATTAGCATCTGAGGAGAGAGAGGACAGAAAAAGAAGGCAGAGCCAGCCAGTTTATCACTGGTCAACTATTAAGCGCTGTTGCAATAAAATGGTCTTACATTCTGTACAAATTGTCTTTTGATGCATAGTAGCTTTGTAAAGAATAATCAAAGAAGACCAGAAGGGAAGCAAAAGAAAATATCAGATTGACTCTTAAGAGAATCATAAAGTGGCATTTTCCAGTTGAGGAACTCCAAAAGGACTGATTAATCAAGTTTCATATTTAGCAATGCACAGGTATGCAAGAATAAAACAGGGAAGCAGAGACGTACAGAACTAAAGCAAGTGCTATATGTTAGGTTATCTATGTAAATTATGCACATAAATTGCATACTTTTGCAGCCAATACATACTGTAACTTTTTACAAATTAACACACATACAGATACACGCTCAATCCAATCCCAAATAATTGGTATATTCACAAATTGTACGTGCCACAAGTTCTCATACCACCGCGGGAAAACAACATCCATGGAATCAATCGATGCTGTGACTTTTAAAACCAACCCACGCACAGGAAGGTATGCTCTGAGTTCAGCCCCAAGCTCATGCATACGCAGCCTCACCTTCAGCATTATAAGGGTCGGTAACAATAACATAAGGATTGCACTGGATCTGAAACTTACCCCAAGCACCAGTTCCTCAGCCAGGCAGAAAGCAACCAGAACAACAAGCCTGCAGTGGGAGGCAAATGAAACAACACGTTACCCCCTCGGGGCACCCAAAACACAGAGGGAGCAGGAGCAAAACCAAACAGACCATCCCCCCGACCCCATAGGAGAAGGGCTGGGGACTCACCCTGTGTGCATGCTGTTCCCCTGCCAGTGGAAGCACTTCACACGGCTCCGTTGCTCCGGTTCATTGAAAGCTTCGCTGCCCGGTGGTTAAACTACGGTCTGCTGGGAGAAGGAGGGGGGCAAAGAGCGGGCAAGGGGAGAAGGGGCCACAAAAAAGGGAAAGAGAGAGAGAGAGATTATATTGATCCATCTGCATTCAGGGGCAGAGCAAGCGCAGGCACGAAGCGGTTGAGAAGCAAGATCATGGTGGAGATAAAAGCGAACTCACCAAAGTTGCTTTCCTCGGAGTGCCCTGCAGCAGGCAGGGGAGAAGAGGAATGGAGGAAGGGGGAGGACCTAGGACTGTCAATCACAGAAAAACAGACACAATCCCCCCCCCCACACACACACCTAATTGTCCAGTTCTTCCCATGTACTTATCCCTGATCTGTCCCTGCCACGACCAATGCTGAGGGCGACACATTCTTCCAACACAAGTGATTTAATGTGACTCTAAAGATGCCCTGAGATAGAATTGCTTTGTACGTCTGCCACCTCCTCCCACCCCCGTGGTGATCGCTCCTAGCCATACAGCTGGGTGTGTAGCAGGCAACTTTTCTGGTGTATATTAAAACTCAGCAAAGGGGCATCCTGGTGGGTTAAAAGTACAACTAGGCACACCTCATTTTACTTGGCATTTGTGGGGTAAAACTTCCTTTTTTAGAACAGCAAAGTTTCCGATGGGCTCTTAAAAGGGAAGTTACCTGGTGTTTTCTGCCTCCCATCCCTGCTACCTAGGGTGCTAACAGCTGCAGATACAGAGTGACACCGGTTTCATGCTAGCCCGTGTGAGGTAGAACAAGGCGCAGCGTGCACCTGGAGTGTCCAAGCATTGATCTTCTCTTGACCTCCCTGACCCTAGCGCTCCTCTCCCCGGGATGGGGCTGCCTGCAAACAGGCACTTCCAAGATGACATCCCGCACTCTCCCAAGGGACTCTTCCGCCGCAATAAATAGTCCCCTGTAAAGACAGTGGAATCTCAGTCCGGGGCAGGGGGGCAGGTTGTTTGTTTTGGGGTTTTTTTAGACCGAGGGCGGGGGCAAACACAGACGTACACATGTCCACCGCACAGGTGTCTGAGCGGTGCGCGTGAAATGAATGCTCAGGGCAATGCCCCCCCCCCCCCGTGCAGGAGCGCTCTGCCCCCAGCCAGGTTGCCCATTAGCCAGACGAGTGCGGCGGAGGGATACCGCAGGCATGCCTTTTTTGGGGGCAAAGTAGCGCCGGGAGCAGTGGAGTTGGGAGAAGTTGGCCCGGCGGAGTAGAGTGAAAAGGGCCGGCGCGAGGGCGGCTTGGGGGAGGGGGGACTCGCTCCGCAGGCTCAGCCCCGCCTGGCCCCCGGCCGGGCTATGTCAGCGCTGCAGGGCCAGCCCGGGAGCGCGCGGGGCTGCTGAGCCCGGGAGGAGAATGAAGCTGCGGGGCTGCCGCCGCCTGGCTGCCGCCTGCCTGGTGCTGCTGGGGCTCGGGGGGCTGAGCGCAGAGGCTGCGGTAAGTGCTGCCCCCCTTTCTCCCGGGGCTCCGCTCCGCTCCTGGCCGCGGGGTTTTCCTCCGCCCCGCTGGCTCGGCGGCGTCTCGTATTTATAACCCGGGTAACCCAAAACCGCTTTGGGGAGCTTTCGGCTGTTTAAAAATAGGGTGCAGCGCCGGGAGCCCTGGCCGTGCAGTGCCGGGAGCTGGGGACCCCCCCCCCCCGGTAAGTGCGTCTGGGCTGCAGCCCCCGTGCGAGCAGGGCGCCCGCACCGCCCGCTGCTCCTTCCCCCGGCCACGGTGACAGGCTGCATCGCAATCCAGAGCTTCCCCCCAGCGCCCGCCGCTCGCTCCTCGCCCCAAGGCAGCGGTGATGGGGCACGACAGAGAGAGAAACTTGTGTGTCGTGGGGGGAGGGAGGATGTCCCTGCCCTCCAGTGTCTTCTGGTGGCTCTATCAGGGGCTCCTTCTGGGGCTCCGCCACGGGGCTGGCTGCGAAGCAAAGGCAGCCGATGTGTTTTCTCTCTTTCTCCGCATCAGGTTCACTGCTCCCCTCGCGCTCTTTTGCAAGGGTGTGAGTGGAACTGGCAGCTCGGGAGCCGAGCTGGAAGTGACAAGAGAGAGAGAAAGGAGGGCAGCCCCACAGAGGTCGGTCTGTCTGTGCGTTAGCTTCACTGTTACCCTAGCACAAAGGTGTTCACCTGCATCCCTAACTCCTACCCGGACCTGGTGGGGACTTTCAGGAGACTCCAGGGCATGATTTTTGGGGATTGGTCCTGCTTTGAGCATGGGGGTTGGACTAGATGACCTCCTGAGGTCCCTTCCAGCCCTGATATTCTATGATTTTGCTGGCAAGCATCTCCTCAGGTTGTAACTAGTCTTCCTGAGAGTACTTCAGTTCTGCCTTTTGCATATATATGAAATCAGGCTGAGAGAGTTGTAGAGGTGTGCTGCGATCTAGAGCATGTACAGTAGGTGGCTTTGGGAAATACTATATCCCGGTTTGGGAAGGGGATGGTACCATACATCTACCCTGGAATGGTTAGGCCTTAAGAATGGGAGAAAAGACACAGGGTTAGTGTAGTTGTTTCACCTAAAATAAATAATAGCCTAGTTCGTGAATAAACTCAGCAAAATTAGTGCAGCTGCATACAGATACATATGTAGCCCAAAAAGTGTCATTTCTTTGCACCATCATAAATTGCACTGTCACAAACTTTTCTCTAAGGTTAAATGCTTAAGCTGTATAATTGTTTCTTTCAGTTAGCGAGATGATATGGGGGAAATTGTTCATGCTTGCTGTTGAAGGAAAAGTGCATTAGATTCTATTGCTTAGCTAAATGATCATCTCCTGGATGAAATCTGAACTCCTATGAACATGAGAAATGCCCTGAACATGATTCTCCTCCCCCCCCCCTCCATTTTTCTTAAAAAAATCAGAGCTATCAGAATGGTATAGTTGTTTTAAGTACCTTCCTTTAGGATGAAACTTTTAGACATAGCATTGGCCTTCAAAAAAGTAAAAACGTCATGTTCCTCCCACCTTCCTCCAGGGCTATGTGTCCTAATAAGATTATGATCAGAGGATAATCATCATAAAGGGTATGATTTATAGTGTGATCTCAATAGCAACCTGTCTAATAGATACCAGCTATCCTGTTGTTGTTCTGGGAATTTTTAAGCAAGCAGATTTAGTGCCGTGGACTGAAATGGGCTCATGTCTTGACCACATTTATATCTGGACTTGTTATTCTAACCACCTTAATGCATTTTTGTTTGTTTGTTTCTAATAAAAATAGCATTTTCTCTGGCCCGGTGCCAGATTATTGAAATAACTGTGTGTATAGCAATGTACACTGAGAGCAGGGTGAATATATTGGAGTTAGGATGATGCTTCCATTCCGCTACGATAAGGCAGCCCAGATGGCTTGTCCAAAAATGTGCACCAGAACCTCATACAACAGAGGAGGGAAGAACTGTACTCACTTATTTTGATTATTCATGGACCTCATTGGGTATGGAAGTTTGGCAGTGCGCTTTTGAGTAAGTAATATGAACACTATATGGATTTGTGATTCATATGCTATGTTGTCTTTACAATGAATAGTGTAAGTCTTATTGGAGAGGAGCTACACTAATATGTTTAACCTATTTTGAAAAAGTGGCATTCAGACACAACAAAATCCAAGCAATTGAATCTGGAAACATACATGGAAACGTCCTATATAAAGTTCTTGGGGACTTTAAAATAAGGGGAGAAGCTAGAAAGGATAAAATGGGAAACTGAGAGGGAATGTTCTTCTGCTGGCCTCAGATATACTGAAGTATAGCATATGGCAACTGTCAAAAGTGCCCAGTTTGTTTTCTTTATACACACTTTTATACGGGCTGAACATTAATATAGAGTGAGGCATATAGCTGTTGGAGAACAATGGAAAATTAGCAGGTAGACTAATAGCAGTCATTTGTTAAAGTGGTAGTGAAGTATAGTGCAATTGCTGCACAAAATGATGCTTACTCTAGAATGAAAATATGCGCTCATAAGGGTATGTTGTCATGTTTACCATAGGTAGGTGGAAACATACCTACTACAAAACAGAGTTCCTTCAAGTAGAGTAGTTTGAAGGAGCTATGTTCTTGAATAAATGCTCTGTTACATGTTTGGTATTGATGTGCATATGACTCTTGATAGCAGGTGGCATTTCAGTTGCATCACAGCAAATGTAGAATAGGAAAAACACGCCTAATGAAGAGCTCTATGTAAGCGCAAAAGGTTGTCTCTCTCACCAACAAAAGTTGGCCCAATAAAAAATATTTCCTTACCCACCTTGTCACTTTTAATGTGTGACTGTTACAAAACTGGTATCGTTGTTTTTTTTTGTTTGTTTGTTTGTTTTTAAAGACGGTTGAAAGCAATAAACATTGCACTAGTTTTCAACTGGTGGAAAATCTGTGCAATTCCATTGAAACTAACGGAGTTATGCTGGCTTACATTAGGCAAGAATCTGGGTCTTAATTACCAAAAATTCACTAAAAACATACAAAATACACAGATTGGGTCAACCACAAAGTGGCTAGTGAAGGTAAATTTTAAGTAATTTAGAACTGATTTAAAAAAAAAGAAAGCTAGAAATGTGTTATACATAAATGTAATAAGTTGGGTTTTGAGGTATTAAGTGAAATTAATGCTGTGAATTAAAAGGAGAAGGTGGAAAAACATTTTAAATGATTTTGTGGTGTAAAAGATGGAGGGAAAAGAAGAAAATAGTACTATGCTTTGTAAAATAATTTGACCTCTAATGCAATTGACAAAGGCCATCAAACTTTCTCTCTTAAATTTCTTTGGCGATTGCATGGTTGGCAGGTTGAATAAAGAAATCTAATTTCTACAGATTTATTGCTTTGTTTCAAGTGAAATGTTTTGTGGTGGGCTTGAGCTGAGCATTTTTGTGACCTGGAACCAGGGTAGATTTGATTTGAAGTCAAATTAGTGATTTAAATCATGATTTAAATCAGTCAGGAAGACTCGATTTAATCATGGATTTCTACATAAAAGTGCATTCTTGTCGGTTGTTATAACCTTAATACATATTCTTCACAACTCTGAGATAGATGTAGGTTTCATTTTTAGAAGGTACACACTATACATTTTTAAAGTGATTTATTTTGAAAACTTTTCAGATGAGTTTTACAGCTATATCAGAAAATGAATGATTGTTTCATTATTTCATTTACCAAAGGTAATTGAAGCAGATAGTTCACCTCCCAATGACTTCATAAATATCTCCAATTCAATAGGTTAATCATTAATATTTGGAGGATTTTCTTGCCATGCTGTATTAGGAGGAGAACATCACCAGACAGACATTTAAATTGTTTTGTTTAACCAAAACAACAACGTTATGTATTCTGGATTATTTTTCTTCAACAGCAAACATCATATTTTAACAAAACAAGCATATGAATTTTTGAATTTAGTTAAACATTCAAGTTTTTTTTTTAAACCAGGTTTGTTTTTGCTAACTATTTTAGTTAAAAACAATTTTAAATGAAATATTTAAAAACAAAAACAAAAATTTAAATAGACTGTGTCAGCCAGGTCAACACAAGAAACTTAAAATATTGGCTTCTGCAGCTAACTTAGTCGTCTTCATCTTCATTTTCCTGTTTGTTCATAATCTGGAAAAGAAAAACAAGCTTTCCTGCTTTTTCAGATCCCAAACGATTTCTCAATTTGGAATGAATTAGAATATTTTCTTCCCAGTTTGGACTTTCTACACCGGCAGAAGAAGCTACTGCTGTTAAAAGTGAGATTTTTCACTTCAACAGTCTCTGAATCCAAGTACTTAAGTGACTTCCACTAGTTCACTGGTGTGACTTTCTTTAAAACATCAGCAAACATATATTTCATGAATGGTTCACCCTTAACTCTGAAGTTTATTATAGTTGGCATTATGGATAATTGCTGGATGTCCGTGTCATAGCCAACTCCTCTTCTTCAGCAGTTAAGGTTTGACCCTGGTACCGAGTATTGAGGATATTTGCAAGAAAATGAGCTGGAGATGGTGCTTGTCCCATTTGTTTTGTTTTTTTTAATGCTTGTAATTTAACTCTGTCATTGCATATTTCTCTTTTTAAGATCTCACTCAGTTCCTTCCAAATTTCAACAGGGTCAGCAATAAAACCGCTATTTTGCTGCATTTTGTTCAAGGCTACAGAAACAGGCTTCAGGGTACTCAGCATGTGTTCAACATTTTTCTTAAGCCCAATGTTGAGAACTTTGGCTGTGACAGTGCCATCTATTTTTTTTCATGATTTTGTTCACAAACTGTCATCATATTAGGCCAGTTCTTGATATAGTGCTCAAAACAGTCCCTTACTGAGTTCCATCACACGTCTTGTGGGAGAGTTAGTTGGTTTCTCCCACTTTTTTCAGAGCAGCTGCTGCAAAGTGGTTGTTACAGAAGTATTTTGCAATTTCAACAACATTAGCCTTTATTTCTGGAACACTGGAGTCTTTG